AAATAGTAAAAATTGCCATTTCAATATATATAGTCGATATTATGAGGAGAAGGGGAACTCAGATGAAAGAGAATGGGGGTCTCACTCTGGGAGAATTTAACATTTGAAACAGTAAAAATTACACTTTTAAAATATATATTTTACCAGTCCAATGCAAGTCAATAATTACAGTTTGATTTTTAGCGTTGTGTTTAAAATTTACCATTTTACTTTGTAAATATTGACGTTGCTTGTATTAGAAATTTACTAACTTTATTTTATACTTTTTACATATCATATGATCATTTTTTAGGTACGAAATGATAAATATCAAAGTCTGAATTCTTAATTATTACACTTTAACATTTTAGACATTTACATAGCGAATATTACTGTTTAAAATAGTATTTTCTTCCATGTAAAGAGTAAATTGTAATGTTTAAATGGTAAATATTATAAAGTGAATTGTAAAATCACGATTTTATTATTTGAAATAGTAATTTTTAGCAGTTGATTATTACTTATTATAAATCGATTGTTATTTATTACAGTTTACTTTTTTCCATGTATTAATAGCGAGAAATTTATTTTTTCCTCTATTTTATGATTGTTTACTATTAGTTCAACAGCAATAGTTGCTTTACTGGAATTGCTGAGGATTAAATTATTCGAATAACTTGCTGATGAAATCGCAATAAGCGACAGAACGTTCAATATTGATTCTAGTTTCCGAATGTTTATCTAATTTTCTATGATTCTTGGTAATAGAAATCGCTTATTATTATTTAATAAAAGTAAATGTGCAATTTCTGAAGAAAAGAACGGAATACTAAGAGGCAAATGAAACTTTTGTTGATATTAAGTGATCTTGAAACTTGTACGGAATTTTATTTTTCATCAAAAATAATAATAAAAAAAAACTCCCGGATGCAAACGATAAACGAGTACTGAATATTTAAATTTAAATAAACGAAATAAAAATAACCCCGACTACTTATTTACACTCATCTACATTTAAAGTATGTTGAAAAGTATAATGCAGAAGTATTTTTAGGGTAAACTGTAAATATACAATTTTTATAAATATTAAATTAAATTTTTTTCTTTTTATTACTATTGTTTGATTGCAAATAAAGTCAGGAAAAAAAACGTGTGTTATTTTTTAGCGGACTTATTTTACCGAAGAAATTTTATTGATCTTTGTCGAGTCGTAGCAGAGGGAAAGGTTTTTTTCTTTTAATTCATTCATTTCACCAGCCAGCGAGGGTGTGTATTATGAAAGAATACCTGAGGGAACTACAAGAGTTTCAATTCAAAAGGGTGAATGTGCAGACCGAGAAATACACATTTAGGTATTATACGGGTGTGTAATATACCTGCAGTATAAATGTATACATCTATAGATTTATAATAATAAAGCGGGGGCGCAAGAGTAGTTTGAATAAAGTGTATACTATACAATACTATATACTCATATGTATACCTATGAATTGAGTTCATCTAGCATAACCGACAGGGCCGAGAATATAAAAGCCGGAAGGGGAAATTCGCCGTGTCCGATTCGCACAAAGACACTCGAGGTCATGTTACTTTTGCGTTTCGAGTTTGCGATTCTATAAATTATAATATACATTTTTTCAATTTTATACTCCATTTCATTCATGAGATTATACAATACATAAATCAGGGCTTTTTAAATTTATTACATATTGTCATTTCGTTTTTATGCCTCCCTATTTAGAAAAGGAGAGAGAGAGAGAGAGAGAGAGAGAGAGAGAGAGAGAGAGAGATCTTGATTTATTGATCAGTTAAGTAATATTATTTTTTTTTTATTTTATCAAATATTTACCAATGATTGCAATTAATATTATTAATTATAGAACAAAATTATAAAAATATAATTAAAAAATTTTTTTTAATTTTATTTGATTCAAGAATTTTTATCCTAAATCAAGTCAACTTTTTTTTAGTATAGCAATTGAAGTGAAAAAATTTTTTATCTAAATTATTAAGAGAATAAGCAAAATTTTGTGAGTTTCGCCTTTTCATAATTTCATATTATTCTCACTAATAGTCAATTTATGATGATAAGTAGTTAGGCTGCATTCCAAAATGCTTTATCTCTGGATACAATTAAGAAATGACCTTGTATCTCTTGAACTATTGACATTTTTAAAGATATAAGCTCATTCCGATGTTACACTTATCAAAACCTTTCATTTGAGTACCCATATCAATTTTTCATATATTTATATATATTATATATATGTATATATGAAAAATATATCAAAATGCATGTGGGTACTCAAATGATAGCTCTTAATGAGTATAATATCGAGATGAGCTTATATCTTTAAAAACATCAATAATTAAGGAAGTACAGTGCAATTTAACATAATTAAGAAATTACCTGTATCTTGTAAAATATTGATATTTTCCAACATATAAGCTCATCCCGATGTTACACTTATCGATACCTTTCATTTGAGTACCCACATCAATTTTTCATATATTTATATATATTATATATATGTATATATGAAAAATATATCAAAATGCATGTAGGTACTCAAATGAAAGCTCTTGATGAGTATAACATTAGGATGAGCTTATATTTTTAAAAACGTCAATAGACAAAAAAAGTACAGTGCAATTTATCAAAAATCATTATTTAATAAATCAAAATTTTATTCATACTAGCAAAGTTGCTAGTTTAAATATTTATTTTTTGAAAGTAAACAACTGAATATTTGAACCATAAAAATTTTCACAATAAACTTTGTTTCACATAAAAAATTTCTCGAAAATAAAAAAAAAGAATGAATGTAAAACACAATTGGAAAATTTCTAAATAAAACTAAAAGATACAATCATTATTAGTTTAAAATGACTACCGAGAAGTAACCATAAAAAAGTAATAAAGTTCCGTAAAAAGTAAAAAGGCAAAAATGACAAAATAGTTAAATAAAATGAAAGTATGCCAAGCACCTGTAATGATATCTAGTGATCTATTAAATAACTATTAAAAGAATGTCAGCAAGTTAATATCATTGTTTTCCGGTGTAATACAATGAAGGAGAGAGTCAAAGTGGAATCACGCTCGTGTTCCTCCTGACAAAGTGTTCTTTGAAAGG